AGAAAACAACAACAAAAGTGCATACTTTGAACTCGGGATGTTTTTATTTCGCCACATTAAATATATCATTACACTGCAGTGTTGGTTTCAAAGAATGTTATTCCCTCAGTCCCTTTAAAACAACCAAGGCCCTTAAAGGAGGCACATACATGCAATAATGAACAATGTGACGATGTTGGAACAGTATGGCCATAAGCTATAAAGCAAAATGGCAAGTTCACACAGAAAAACAACAGTATACATAAATATTAAAAGAAGTTGACAAATTCAAATCATAGTTTCTCCCAAGAACTAGGATAAAGCAAACGTGCATGTCGCCTCAAAATGTACGAGGCACATGAGGCTGACCAGTCACGCAGTCACAAGAGACTTAAAACCGGTTTCGAGGCATTTCTGTCGTAAGCAGTGGCAGGTGTGAAACAGCCTGAACTAGTGATGCTTCCGCTGTAAACACCAATTGTAAACAATAAATAAACCTCTTCTGTTCTTACTTAATTCGCAGCATGTCGGATGTTGTAGGAGAATCTCGAATCACACTTGTGTGCGCAAGCCCAAAACTAACACGACTTCAAAATGAGCAGAGATCTGAAAACTCGTGTCGGATTCGAAATCACACCCAACAATCCTAGAAATGGAGCAACTGTATCTGTTCGAACGAGCAGCTGTGTATTTCCTTTCATTAATCTAGACGGTTTAAATGGATGTAGTTTTTGCCTTTGTACATAACATGTGGCAATGAGCATCGACAACAGAAGAATGAAAACACGTTAGAAAGCAGCTGGACCCAATTCTCCTTGCTGGCTGATGAGATTGTGGACGACAACATGAAGCGTGCAGTCTTCAGCCGCGCATGTAAACCCTTCGTGTACACCCCTCTTTCAATCTTTTTTTTTTTTTTTCTCCGCTTTTCAAGTATCTTCAGAGATGCTAGCAAAAAAGGAACCTTGGGGCTAAGGACGCTGGTAACTGGTCACCGGATAATGCTCAACAAGTGCTGAAGACAAGTCTGTGCCCGACTACATTACTGAGCTGCGTCACGTCGCTCAGCACTGCGAGTAGACATTCTTGTACAAGATGTTTTGTGGCCGGTTGGTTAATGTTGTATGCGAGGAAGCCGTTCAGCGACCCCACCTCGCCATGTCAGATCTCTTTTGCTAGGCCTCAAGAACTTGTGACTGCTGCGGAGTACGCCACAAACCTTACACGAGAGACCCCAGACTTCCGGGCTCCAGAAATGGCAGAGGTTTGCCACATTGACAAACACGACCCACAGAAGGCATCAAACGGTTCATCAATGCCAAGCCACAACCCTGGTGCAGTGAAGACATGTCCCGAGTACAGCTGGATAACGTTGGCATCAAAATGTTGTGCACGACGCAAGTAGCTACAATTTTGAACGTGCCATTTCTGGGACGGAAAGGGACGCATGATAAGTGCATGCCGTCGGTAGTTGGCCAAATCCAAGCACCACGCTCCGGAAGCGGGATCCAGTCATCGTCTGGAATAAGACGGATCAAAGGCAGAGCCTTAGCTTCATCGAACCGGGGTGGAAATTTTTGAAGTTCAACTAAATGATATTCCCATCTCCATAGAAGTGGACACTAGAACTGCTTAGTGCGTAATTGTTCTGAAGAGAATGTGCCATCTTGGAACGGCTGCAGAGACCTAAACGTAAACCGCTTTCCGAACGTATTCACAACGCAAGTTTGTAGTTCTGGGAAGTGTCAATTTTTCCACGCGGTTAAAGGCAAAATAGAGTGAGCCACCATTGCTCATTCCGATTAAAAGTGTTCAATAAGCTCCGCACCGCTAAATCCAAACTTCATACTCAAATATCACAAGCCTCGATTTGTTCCTTTGGCACTTGAGCCAAACATCACGCAACTCGTGACACAAGGGATTTTGCCCCCAGTGCAGAACTCTGCATGGGCTACGGCAGCTGCACTTGGTGAGAGGTAAAACGGCAAGATCTGGCTATGTGGAGGTTGTAAACGCATCATTAATCGAATCTTGAAACGGGAGTCGCACTCTCTGTCAAAAGCAGAGCAAATGTTGACATAACTTACAACACAGTCCTTTTAATACGCTCTTGGTCATGAGAGTTCTCCGTAACGCTATGGAAGGGCTTGGTATGCGACCATGGTGTGGCGCTGAGGTTGACAAGGTGCGAGAAAGCTGTTAACCTAGCCAACACTGCTGGGAAGTGGGCATCCAGGAAGTGTTTTTGTAATTTCAAACCCACTCTGAATGAGCCACCTTTAAATCACGGTGACGCGTCACCGCACTGACAGCGTTCCTCATAAGTCTAAGTGACTTTGGCTCTGTACGCAGAGTCAACTGGTCAGATTTTAAAACGCTCACTGCAAGTACCAATTGTAAACAGTGTTGAATGTCATATGCGGCAGCAAAACTTGCAAGAACAGCGTGCAAAGTCCAAGTGACGACACTCCCGCGGCCCCTTTCGCTCGCTCGGATCAAGTATTGTTCGCAGCAGGAAACGGCGAACATAGATAGAACTCTCAATGAATGTCGCAACGTCCAGTCGGCTGTTCCGTTATTTCAACCGAAACTCATTAATGAAACGCATTAAACTCCAGTATGCATTCCATTGACGACGAAAAGGTTTCTGGACCCCTGAGGATGGACGACTCCGCTCATCACGGATGGATTCTAAAGTTTTCCCCCGGTGGGAACTGCAGTTAGTGTATGGAACGCCTCGAATTTTACATCGAGGCCAAGAACATCACAAGCTGCACAAAGAAGCGAGCCATCCTCCTGATGACCTACGTTAAATCAACCTACGACACTGTATGAGCCCCGCTCGCACCCAAACCGCTTTCAGAGGTTGAGTTTGAGGAGATAATCAAGTTCCTCAAAGAACACTATGACCCCAAGCCGGTGGAACTGCTCAGTCGGTTCAAATTCTATCAACGGAACAAACCAAATACCGACAGGTTCCATCTCCGAGTATGTGGCCGCACTGCGAAACATCACTGCTGACTGCAACTTCGGCACAGTGACGGCCACGCCGACCACACCCACCCCGACAACAGCCACGACAGCCATGCCCGTGTCAAATGTTAGTTCATCGCGAGAGACCCGACATGCCCCGCAAGCCCCAGCGAGAGAATTCTCCACTGTGCTACCGCTCCAAGTGATGCTGAGGGACCGATTCATTTGTGGGATCAAGGATTCCCACCTTCAACAATGTTTGCTAGTGGAAGGAAACATCACCTTCAACTGTGCCTACACTCTCGCATTGGCAACAGACTCTGCTGCCAGCCAGCAACTCCAGATCCAGAAACAAGGTAAGGTAAGGTACACAGTTCCACTGCCACCACAAGGGGGCAAAGTCATGAAAGAAACCCCGTTCTTTGTTGCGCAGGTATCCGTTCGCTTGTTGAATGCAAGCTTGTTAAAGTCGCGTGCAAATTTTCACACAATGGACACCTCTAAGAAGCGCGTTTCAGTCACAGAGTTCAACGCAAGTCACTGGAACGCTCGTTAAGTCGCACCCGTCGGTAGACAGTTACGCAAGGTGAGACACATGGAGACCCCTTTGCAGTGAGCAGCGTCGCTGAAGGGGACCCGTTTTGGATCATTGTTGCTCTCCTGGTGAACGGACGACGTTTGGAACTCGATCAGACACTCTCCAACAAACGTCGCAGCTTGCAGTTCGCTTCACCGTTCTTTCAACCGAAGTTCATTAAAAAAACACATTTAACCCCAGTATGCATTAGTGAATAAACCTCCTCCACAAGTCTCCGATTTCGAATGTGTTGGACAATGCAGTCAGGTCTAAAATGAATGAGATTGCAAAATAAGCGCAAAACGCACGGGAAATTAGTAGACTCCCACGTCAGAAAAGAAATCTGGGGGTACAAATAGAAACGTAAGGCCAAAAAGGTCCAACCGGACAGTCAACCAGACTCAAGTCGCGATACTAAGAGGGTTGTTCACAGTGGCAAAAAGAAGTATTGGAAAAACTGTTACTGTGGAAGCCCACGCTTTTCTCGCAGATTACTCTTTTCGTCGTTGCAGACCCATCAGAGTGAAGCTGTTGTTCTGGCAAGAACCGCTTTACAGGGGGCGGTTGCCAACACCGATGCAGCTACACTAAAATCGCTGGCTGCCACAGACCCCCCCCCCCCCCCCCCCCTGGGCAAGACAAGGTATGCCAGCAGTGCCCGAAACCAAACTTAATGTCCGTGTTTACAAAGCGTAAGTAAAGTCGATGTGCCTCTCGAATTCGGCAACACTAGTTTACAGCATCGATGAGAAATCTCGCCGGCTGCACTATGACTGCCGGCCTGGGGCCTTTAACGTGCGTCACACAATAGTGACACGTGACCGCGCGCCGTACGATGCTCGTCCAGATTGAAGCGAGCAGGGATGGCAATTGAACCTCGAACGCCTGCGTTTTGTGGTCGAAGCCTCCTGCTTCACGTGCTCCGAGCTGTGGCGCACCAACACACTCGACCGACGATCCCCCTGAGCAGCGTGCCCTTGAAGAGTTGTGTGCCTCGGCCCAGTCCCATGAGCCGATCACTCGTCCAATGTGGAAGCTGTAACCCTGCAGGCAAAGAAGGTGCTCACGGTTGCAGATTGCGACTCATCTGTGAGCTCAATTGGCGTCAACACATTGGTATTTCAAGGCCTGGGTCCGCAACTGAGTGAAACCTACCCGACATGGGTCCCAGGAAGGCCGCCAGCTGTCGAGGCCTTTAGTGCAGTCTCGCACTGGGCACATCGTCCTGCACATTCCTCTGCAGGGAATGGGGTCTCTTTCTTGGCCTCTTGGCAGGCTGGTCACTTGGTGGGCGTCCGGCTGGCACCCTTTTTGAGCCCCTCGTCAGCCCTGGCCTACGTCGGGCAAGGTGCTTAGGCTGCACCCAAATCTGGCGTTCGCGGCGCCTTCGTCCTGCCGCAGTCGCCTTGAGGCTCAACATGAGGCCGGTGGCGTCGTTGCCATTGAGAACACGGTCCAGCTCGTCCCCCAGACCCTGCAGGATCTCAAGGTACGTTGTGACTTCAGCTACTTCAGCGACGGGATGACTGTCTGCGAGGCTCGGAGGCTCCACGAGAGCAAGCTGTGCCTAGAGGGCGGCGGTCCTGTGCTGCTGGTCAACGGTGCCCTGAACCCCACGACCAGGACTGCACAGCACTGGCACAGCGTGTGGAGCACCACATGCTTTGGCGGTGGCGCCATTGCCCCGCTGTCCAAGCTGGAGGAGAAGGCAACCCTCTACGCAGCTCAAGGTATGCCACGACTTACCACAGTGCTAAGGCCCATTCCTGAGTTGTCACTTTGCCAAAAGAAATATGTTGTCGGTGTATGAGCTTGGGCCACGACATTAGACATGTTTAATTAAGTCTCATTTGAGCAACAAGAAAACAACGAGCTACTTTGATCAACTTCAAGCACGTGCAGCAGTCACAAAGGTACCTATGGAAGACTTTGAATCTCCCTGTGCTCGTGAAGTAAAAACAAGTGATTGAAACTCTGCCAAGGATACTTTCACGTGCTTGAGGTTGGTCAATGTCGGTTGCTGTTGTTCAAGCGGGTCTAAGATATTACAGGACAACTCTAACCGGCAATCATGTCTCGGGTTCACGTAAATTGCTTGGCATGCCAAAAGCCGCTGCCTACATTCGAAGTACACAATAGGTAGTTTTCGTGCAGAGTTTGGTAGCCACCTATTTCAACAATAACCAAACTTCTTTTATTTTTCATTACTATTATTTTGTAGCATGCAGGAGCAAATTTTGAGGCATTGAGTGCCTAAAGAAAAAGTGGATAAAAAGAGCCACCGTTTTAGCAAGGCTCTTACACAATACTTTCCAGGCACTGGCGTGACGGTGAGCCGGAGCGATAGCAGCACCTGCTGGGCGGTTCTCGTGGTGACCCCGATCATGCAGCGGGCCCAAGCACTGGACGTGGCGAAAGACATCGTCTTCATACACTCCACGTCCTCTTGCTACACGACCAGATGCACCGTCTCGGTGGTGCTCGTGGCAACGATGGCTGGCACCGTCCCCGTCGCAGGACTAGTCCACAACGAGCAGAGCACCGAGGGGTACCTGACTGCGTTCAAGCTCCTCCGTGACTCCCACCCACTTTGGTTTGAGGCCCATCCGGTAAGTTGGAGAGAAAGATAAACTATAGCATTTTGTATTTAGTTCACATTTAGCAAAAGCTAAAGGACATGACACCTTCATGTTTCAAAGTTCATTTTTGTTATCGTCGCCGAGCAGTGAACACACTAACAAAAACCATGTCTCTGTGGCATGAGTGCAAGCGGCAAAGCCTAGGTTGGGAACAAGAGAATGGAAGGAAATGTTGCAGTACAGGAAATGCTAGCAGCGCCAAAGTGACAGTTCCCGTAAATTGGTATTTTGGGCATAAATGTGTGAAAGAATTACCACGGGAATTTAATATAAGCACGATTGTCCAGTTTTTAGCGTTGTGCCTCATGGTCGGCCACATATGTATTATCGTTTCTCAGGCACCGAACGTGGCGATGACTGACAACTCCAGTGCGGAAAAGGCTGCGGTGCAGGAGACGTGGCCCACAGCGAGGCAGCTTCTCTGCCATTTCCACGTCGCACAGGCGGAGTGGCGCTGGCTGACGGCAGCTCGCAACCGCGTCGACAAGGACCAGAGGCGTCAATTGATGTCGCTCTTCCAGGAGGCAAGTTTTGTTTGTAACGGGGGCACTTGCGCAACATTCTAGGGTTCTGAGGAGTGAGGAAGAAGGTGATATCGGGTCTAGCAACACACCTCAACACCGGTTGCGCCAGCAGAGTGGCATTTTCATTGTAATGTGTCTGTGGGAGTCTGGCAGGTGCTGGCCGGATCTCCATTAGAAGATTCTCAGGTACAATGACCAACCGCAGGTGATGTACGCCGACAGTGAAGAGAAGCTGGAAGCTGCAACTGCCCAGCTGAAGCTTCAACCGCACCAGGCCTTCGTGGCACGGGTGGAGGCCTTCCTTGGGAGACGGGAGGAGTGGGTGCTGCTCTTCCGTGCCAACATCACCACACGGGGGCACAACACGAACAACTTCGCTGAGGCCACCATCCGTGTCCTGAAGGACATGGTTCTGAACAGGACGGAGGCCTTTAACGCGGTGGCACTGGTGGATGCGGTGGCCGTGGTGTGGGAGCGGTACTTCGAGAGCCGCATCCTCCGCCATGCCCACAGTCGTGTCGCCGGTCACCAGCTGGAATACAAGTGGCTGTTCAGCAGGATGCCACAAGGTGCAGCAGACAACATCAAGCCTGTGGGCGACAACGTCTATGCGGTGCCGAGTTCCACCAACAACGGCGTGGTGTACGAAGTGTCGCCAAGCTTCGGAGCGTGCAGCTGCCCAGTCGGAAAACAAGGGGTGTTTTGCAAGCATCAGGCCCTTGTGCACGAGACCTTTGGAGGGTTGTTTCCCAATGCCCCCCCTTCGAGCACGGGGGATCGTCACCGACTGGGAAAGTTGGACTTGGGAGACAAGTGTCCGTTGCAAAATTTTTTCATGCCTTTTTGTGAAGGGCAGCAGTCGTCAAAAGAGCCAGACGTGGCCAGCTGTACCGCCCAGGCCTCGGAAGGCCAGCACATTGCCGAAGCCAGTGACATGGCAGAAGCCCCCGAGCCCTCCACTTCAGCTGTGGCGTCACCGGCTGTGCAGGGACCTGACCAGGCTCAGATTGCCCAAGTATGTGTGCTCTTTCATGTTCGTGCTCACTCCAGTTCTTTGTTTCTTTTCTCGGCGATCTGAATACACAGCAGAGGCTGAAAAAAACTTTCTGTCGGTCACCGGTAGTAAACTTGTAGAACACAAACACTTCTTGTAGGTCATACTAGGAGGTGCACTAGTGCAGTGCCTGGAATTTTAGGTGGTACATATTTCCTGGCTGTTGCCAGCCACGCATTCATGTTTGCCGTACTAAATGAAAACTGATGATTGTTGCATAATTGTGTCGTTTCTACAGGGTGTTTGGTCCAGTCTAAAATGTGAAAGCAACTTAGCAGATGAGTGAAGCTCAGAGAGCTCGCTTTCACTGTTTTAGCATGGGTATATATGCCGAGACGCTCCAGGTATTACCGTGATCAATCTTAATGTCCGGCATATGGGTATGACTGGCCTGGTGTGTTGCTCACTGGCCTACAAATGGCAGGACTCATTTCCTAAGTGGCACCAATGTCTGACCAGAATCGCAGTCGTGCAACTTTACTGCAATGTCAAGCAAGTGTGCTTGCAAAACGCACATGTGTACCAATTGAAAAAAAAGAAAAGAAACAGGCGTTTTTAGTGGTTGTTTGTAGCCTCAAAGTCTGAACCTTCACCACAACATGGGTATTGACAACAATGCCGTGGGCTTCCTACAAGTTCAAACTATAGTTTGTTTCACATTCTGAGGCAGCAAAGCTAGAGCTAAAAGCACAAACATGTTGCCCTAAAAAGAGCTTGTACTGCACAAGCGTTCATGCCTTGCAGGGGTGCCAAAAGCTTGAAGCTCGCCCTTCCTTGTAGCTCCTGCTATTCTCGCACTTAAAGTGAGACAGAGTATGGACAGGAGGTAACTTGCTCACCTGCTTGCCTCACCGCTTTCTGTGCAGGCACGAGAACAAGTGTACCAGCGTCTGGAATCGAGCTTGCAGCACCTGCACGCCATGAACGAGGACAGCGCAACGTACCTTGAGATCCTGCAGGGTCTTGGGGACGAGCTGGACCGTGTGCCCAATGGCAACGACGCCACCGGCCTCAAGTTGAGCCTCAAGGCGACTGCGGCAGGACGAAGGCGCCGGGGACGCCAGATCCGGGTGCAGCCTACGAGCTTTGCCCGACGTAGGCCAGGGCTGACGAGGGGCTCAAAAAGGGTGCCAGCCGGACGCCCACCAAGTGACCAGCCTGCGAAGAGGCCAAGAAAGAGGCCCCATTCCCTGCAGAGGAATGTGCAGGACAATGTGCCCAGTGCGAGACTGCACTAAAGGCCTCGACAGCTGGCGGCCTTCTTGGGACACATGTCGGGTAGGTTTCACTCAGTTGAGGACCCAGGCCTGGAAATACCAATGTGTTAACGTCAATTGAGCTCACAGATGAGTGGCAATCTGTAACCGTGAGCACCTTGTTTGCCTGCAGGGTTACAGCATCCACATTGGACGAGTGATCGGCTCATGGGATTGGGCCGAGGCACACAACTCTTCAAGGGCACGCTGCTGAGGGGGATCGTCGGCCGAGTGTGTTGGTGCGCCACAGCTGGGAGCACGTGAAGCAGGGGGCTCGGACCACAAAACCCAGGCGTTCGATGTTCAATTGCCATTCCTGCTCGCTTCAATCTGGACGAGCATCGTACCGGCGTGCGGTGACGTATCACTACTCTGTGACGCATGTTAAAGGCCCCAGGCCGGCAGTCATAGTGCAGCCGGCGAAATTTCTTATCGATGCTGTAAACCAGTGTTGCTGAATTCGAGAGGCACATCGACTTTACTTACGCTTTGTAAACACGGACATTAAGTTTGGTTTCGGGCACTGCTGGCATACCTTGTCTTGCCCAGGGGGGGGGGGGGGGGGGGGGTGTCTGTGGCAGTCAGCGATTTTAGTGTGGCTGCATCGGTGTTAGCAACTGTCCCCTGTAAGGCGGTTGTTGCCAGAACAACAGCTTCGCTGTGATGGGTCTGCAACGGCGAAAAGAGTAATCTGCGAGAAAAGCGTGGGCTTCCACAGTAACGGTTTTTCCTATACTTTTTTTTTTGCCACTGTGAACAGCCCTCTTTGTATCGCGACTTGACTCTGGTTGACTGTCCGGGCTGAACTCTGTGACTAAAACGCGCTTCTTCGAGGTGTCCATTGTGTAAAAATTTGCACGCGACTTTAGCACGCTTCCATTCAACAGGCGAACGCGTACCTGTGCAACGAAGAACGGGGTTTCTTTCATAACTTTGCCCCCTTGTGGTTGCAGTGGAACTGTGTCCCTTACCTTACCTTGTTTCTGGATCTGGAGTTGCTGGCTGGCAGCTGAGTCTGTTGCCAATGCGAGAGTGTAGGCACAGTTGACGGTGACGTTCCCTTCCACTAGCAAACATTGTTGAAGGTGGGAATCCTTGATCCCACAAATTAATCGGTCCCTCACCATCACTAGGAGCAGTAGCACAGTGGAGAATGCTCTTGCTGGTGCTTGCGGGGCATGTCGAGTCTCTCGCGATGAACTGGCATTTGACACGGGCATGTCTGTCGTGGCTGTTGTCGGGGTGGGTGTGGTCGGCATGGCCGTCACTGTGCCGAAGTGGCAGTCAGCAGCAATTTTTTGCAGTGCGGCCACATACTCGGAGATGGAACCTGTCGGTGTTTGGATTGTTTCGTTGATAGAATTTGAACCGACTGAGCAGTTCCACCGGCTTGGGGTCATAGTGTTCATTGAGGAACTTGATTATCTCCTCAAACTCAACCTCTGAAAGCTGTTTGGGTGCGAGCAGGGCTCATACAGTGTCGTAGGTTGATTCAACGTAGGACATCAGGAGGATTGCTCGCTTCTTTGTGGAGCTTGTGATGTTCTTGGCCTCGAAGAAAAATTTGAGGCGTTCCAAACACTAACTGCAGTTCCCACCGGGAGAAAACTTTAGAGTCTATCCGTGATGAGCGGAGTCGTCCATCCTCAGGGGTCGAGAAACTTCCTCGTCGTCGATTAAATGCATACTGGATTTTAATGCGTTTCAATAATGAGTTTCGGTTAAAATAACAGAACAGCGGGCAGGACGTTGCGACATTCATTGAGATATTTCTCTCTGTGTTCGCCGTCTCCTGCTGCGAACAATACTTGATCCGAGCGAGCGAAGCGGGCCGAGGGAGTGTCGTCACTGGGACTTTGCACGCTGTTCATGCAAGTGTTGCTGCCGGATATGACATTCAACACTGTTTACAATCGGTACTTGCAGTGAGGGTTATAATGTCTGACCAGTTGACTCAGCGTTCACCGCCAAAGACACTTAGACTTATGAGGAACGCTGCCAGTGCGGTGAAGCGTCACCGTGATCTCAAGGTGGCTCATTCAGAGTGGGTTTGAAATTACAATAACCCTTCCTGGATGCCCACTTCTCAGCAGTGCTGGCTACATTGACAGCTTTCTCGCACCTTGTCGACTTCAGCGCCACACCTTGGTCGTACACCAAGCCATTCCATAGCGTTACGGGGAACTCTCGTGACCAAGAGCGTATTAAAAGGACTGTGTTGCAAGTTATGTCAACATTTGCTCTGCTTTTGACAGAGAGTGTGACTCCCGTTTCAAGATTCGATTAATGATGCGTTTACAACCTCCACATAGCCAGATCATGCCATTTTACTTCTCCACGAGTGCAGCTGGCGTAGCCCATGCAGAGTTCTGCAATGGGGGAAAAGTTCCTTGTGTCACGAGTTACGTGATGTTTGGCTCAAGTGCCAAACGAACAAATCGAGGCTTGTGATATTTGAGTATGAAGTTTGGATTTAGCGCGACAGTGCGGAGCTTAATGAACACTTGGAATCGGAATGAGCAATGGTGGCTCACTCTACTTTCCCTTTAACCGCGTGGAAAAATTGACACTTCCCAGAACTACAAACTTGCGTTGTGAATACGTTCGGAAAGCGGTTTACGTTTAAGTCTCTGCAGCCGTTCCAAGATGACACATTATCTTCAGAACAATTACGGACTAAGCAGTTCTAGAGTCCACTTCTATGCAGATGGGAATATCATTTAGTTGAACTTCAACAATTTCCATTCCGGTTCGATAAAGCTAAGGCTCTGCCTTTGATCCGTCTTATTCCAGACGATGACTGGTTCCCGCTTCCGGAACGTGCTGCTTGGATTTGGCCAACTACCGACGGCATGCACGTATCATGTGCCTCTTTCCGTCCCAGAAATGGCACGTTCAAAATTGTAGCTACTTGCGTCGTGCACAACATTTTGATGCCAACGTTATCCAGCTGTACTCGGGACATGTCTTCACTGCGCCAGGGTTGTGGCTTGGCATTGATGAACCGTTTGAGGCCTTCTGTGGGTCGTGTTTGTCAATGTGGCAAACCTCTGCCACTTCTGGAGCCCGGAAGTCTGGGGTCTCTCGTGTAAGGTTTGTGGCGTACTCCGCAGCAGTCACAAGTTGTTGAGGCCTAGCAAACGAGATTTGACATGGCAAGGTGGTGTGGCTGAACGACTTCCTCGCATACACCATTAACCAACCGGCCACAAAACATCTTGTACAAGAATGTCTACTCGCAGTGCTGAGCGACATGACGCAGCTCAGTAATGTAGTCGGGCACAGACTTGTCTTCAGCACTTGTTGAGCATTATCCGGTGACCAGTTACCAGCGTCCTTAGCCCCAAGGTTCCTTTTTTGCTAGCATCTCTAAAGATACTTGAAAAGCGGAGAAAAAAAAAAAAGATTGAAAGAGGGGTGTACACGAAGGGTTTACATGCGCGGCTGAAGACTGCACGCTTCATGTTGTCGTCCACGATCTCATCAGCCAGCAAGTAGAATTGGGTCCAGCTGCTCTCTAACGTGTTTTCATTCTTCTGTTGTCGATGCTCATTGCCACATGTTATGTACAAAGGCAAAAACTACATCCATTTAAACCGTCTAGATTAATGAAAGGAAATACACAGCTGCTCGTTCGAACAGATACAGTTGCTCCATTTCAAGGATTGTTGGGTGTGATTTCGAATCCCACACGAGTTTTCAGATCTCTGCTCATTTTGAAGTCGTGTTAGTTTTGGGCTTGCGCACACAAGTGTGATGCGAGATTCTCCTACAACATCCGACATGCTGCAAATTTAGTAAGAACAAAAGAAATTTATTTATTGCTTACAATTGGTGTTTACAGCGGAAGCATCACTAGTTCAGGCTGTTTCACACCTGCCACTGCTTACGACAGGAATGCCGCGAAACCGGTTTTAAGTCTCTTGTGACTGCGGGACTGGTCAGCCTCATGTGCCTCGTACATTTCAGGCGACATGCCCGTTTGCTTTATCCTAGTTCTTGGGAGAAACTATGATTTGAATTTGTCAACTTCTTTTAATCTTTATGTATACTGTTGTTTTTCTGTGTGAACTTGCCATTTTGCTTTATAGCTAATGGCCATACTGTTCCAGCATCGTCACATTGTTCATTTTTGCATGTATGTGCCTCATGTAAGGTCTTTGGTTGTTTTAAAGGTACTGAGGAAATAACATTCTTTGAAACCAGCACTGCAGTGGAATAATATATTTAATGTGGCGAAACAAAAACATCCCGAGTTCAAAGAATGCACGTTTGTTGTTGTTTTCTTCTCTTCATATAGTTCCACTGGGCATGCGTATCGTCATCTGCGTACCTCCACCACGAAATGTTCTCCAATGGCACGAGTGTTTCTAACAGTACTAAGCTGATCCCTTTACGACTCCCCAAATTTGCTGTTACATAGCCACATTCATTTTGGGTCGGGAGAGCCGCGGCGCCGCTGGAAGGCAAGCACGAAGACGTGTGTCGTCGCGAGTAACGGTGATGCGATGACAGCGTACAGGCGAAATAAAAATGCTGGCAATACTTCAAATTGAGCTTGTGGGTCAGTGTAAGCGTTCGTGACGACGTAGCATATTTAGGAGCACATTTTCGTATGAAAAAAAGGCAAGCGTTCATGCACGACATGGTTCACATCCGCCGCGTCGCCGACAAACCTGCTCAGCAAGAATAAGGTCTACACCAGCGGTACGCGTTGGTAGTAAGCGACGTAAGCGACGAGTAGGGAACGCTAAGGAGAAAAGTACTTGCGCCTTTTACGCACTCCAGTGAAGCACGATGTGAGACGTCGCATAGTTGCGTTACTAAGTGCTCAGTCCCTCGCGGCACCGCGTTCGCAGCGGCTCAGCCACTGTGGCCTCAGCCGCGACTGCGTCGACCGCGTAGGATTCGCGTTTCAAGCGTCTCAGACTTCAGCCGCCACTGCACCGACCGCGTAGGCCTCAAGTTTCATGCGGCGGCCG